TTTATACGCAAGTCCTCATCTCATCCTTCGGCCAGCAGTTTCGTTCGAAGAAAGCGAAGTAAATGTCAGTTCTGAGGTTTGAGGAGTACACTGTACACTTCCTCTCGCCATCGAAACAACTTCTTCAACGGAGCTTTGATGGCAACGGACCTGTACTGGGACGTGATTAAATAGCATCGCTGGCAGTGCGAGCGAAACGGGGCGACGGAAAGGCTACGAAGCTACGAGGATAGTATGGAAAATATTGCAAACGGTGTTGAGGGAATTCAAGCACGGATCAATAGGCAACAAAACATGAGCCGGAAAATTATTTATACGAACGATTCAAGTTTTAAATTCGAATGATATCAAAGCCAGAAACCAGAATAGATCACTTCAAGAGATATGCCATTGTCATTGCAAAAATCAGATGCTTAAGTTATGCCTTACACTCGTATAAACGTAACCGTCGCTAAGATAGATTTCAAACTATCGAATTCTTAAGAAATAGAAATGATCGGTTAACCACATTTAATCAATCGTATTGAATTCATAATTGATGGTTTGATTCATAATTGATTGACACTAATAATTCTATATGACTTTTAAAAATTAGTGAATTAAAGTATTTTTGATTATTTCCAAATAAATTTTAATAAAGGAGACAAAAGATACTAAGCATAATTATTTTTGTAAGTAAGTAACATTAATGCATTTTTACATTAAGAATTTAAATATCAAATTGTTGTTCTAGATTCATTAGTAATCACTAATGATCCTATATGAATTTTCAAAAATCATTTTAGTAGAATATTTTCTAAGTAATCTCTAATAATTAATATTAAAGAAAAAGAAAAGATTATGAACATAATTAATTTTAATTATCATCAACTTCTGTTTATATGATCCTACTGAATAAATAAATTCAATTACAATTACGATTTTGAATACAGTTATTTTAATTTTTTTTCTTGTGTTTACTTGTACTGTTTATAAAAATACGGAATAAATAAATCCAATTCCGATTAAAAACGTAAAAATACAAAACGATTTAGAAAAAAAGCTACAGCAGCCGTTTACTGAATGACTTAAATACGTCAAAATATCCAGCTGCAGCATCTTTACCTGCTCTTTATTTTTAAGCTTTAATTTGAAATTTAAAATTTGTTTTATGGAACTTTTCAACAACGCATCGAACCTTGGAATCGAGAGGAAATTTCATATAAAACGTAGAGTATGATCAGAAAAGTTTTACGTGTAAAACAATTAAATCTATGAGTGTATATGGGTTGCTCTGAGGAAACTTTTGCAATTCCGGAGACAGATGGGACGAATTGGATGAAGTCAGGGTAAAATAGCACTCATTACCCCAGAGTAAAAATGATAAAATATCGCTCAGATAGCTTTTTGTGTGCGAGAATCAGGAAACGGACATAACGCCAGCAACAGCAGCAACAGCAGCAAAACGGAAAGCAAACAGTGTGAATAACTTCTTCGTTATTGTCGTTTTTGTTCTCCATATTAGATTAACGGAATGACTTCCTTAAATTTGTACACAGACACAGGATTATTTCAACTTTTAACATAAATTTGACTGTCTTATCGTTTAATTATCTAATACGACGAAAATTTGCACTCCACAGTACTAAAAACGGTCATTTTGAAATAAAAAAATAATATTGTATTTATTAGTGAAGTAATTATTTTATTTCATTGGTGTAACTATTTTAGTTTTCAAAACAAATTATGTCTGATAGATATAATTTCGTAATATAGAAATAGACTTCATTAAATATTTAGTACGTAAAAGCTCTACTCGATATATAATAGTACTAAAACCGCCATTTTAAAATAATAACAAAATGAGTATTTACTTCACGGAAACTTTAATATTTTTTTTTAATATATCTATTCCTTTTTTTAAGAAACGAAGTAAATGAATATTCTGCACTAACAATAAGGCGTAAAAAATAAATCTGGAAAATTAAAATCAACTGATTGAAGTATCGGGCTAAAAATTTCATCTATTTCTAATTATATAAATCCTCTTTGTATAAACATATCCCTGTTGTTATTTCAACATATGAAATTATCATTGAAACAAACTATTTTTAATATTTTTGTGTATAGTTCATATTTTTTTAAATTTAATTAAAACTATTAAAAGGATTAATAATCATATGTATATTCATTATTTCTTATATTCAAAATTGAATAAAAATATATTTTCAAGGTTCAAATAATATCTGCTTTATTTCGAAGATCCCTACAATTTTAATTTTAATTATTTATCAAAATTTTTAGAAAGTTCATATATTAAAATTGAATCCAACAATATTGGATTACCCTTCACGCGAATAAAGAATAATGTATCCATATTTAAATATTGAATTCATTTAATATTTGTTTACGCAATGTCAACTAACTGCCTCTATTTCACCAATTCCGACATAAGTGTTATCCGATTAAATCTAACAGATATTTTATTTTAATAGATGTAGCATATAGAGGAGCAAGTAAATCCGCGAGGGTGCTGCAGGCAGGGGTTATTTGCACCAAGGGTGTGATGATAGTGACATTTAATTTACTACTTTCTGAATGTATGTATTCGTATGTGTGCAAGTATATAGCATGTCGGGCATGTCGGTGATGTTTGCGATTGCGATGGGGCTGGGGCCGCTCGAAAAGGTCCCCAGGCACTAGTTCATTAATACATATCAGTGCCGACCAGCCGAGGACGAGGACGAGGACGAGGACTCGATCGTTTTCCAAGAGCAAGAACGCCGCGCTACAGGCGATACAGGATAGGGGACACGATTTAAGTATGACAATATGAGGTCAGGAACATTTCGGTTCCCTTTGCGACCTTTTATTTCGGATTCATAAAGGTTATTGTATTAAGATAGAGAATAATATTCAACAGTATGTTTATGCAACGGCTGATTAAATACACTCACACCTCGTTTTAATTTAGAAGTTGCGTCACTGCTTTGTTATTACTGAATTTTACTATGCGTTGTTAGATTTTAGAATTTGCATCGTCAGGTTTGAGGATTTCATTTTCATGAAAACTTTTTAAATTAGAAGAGACTGACAACTAAATTGCTAATTTCGCAATAGAAATCTCCAAAGAACAAAATTTAACATTCGAACAAATATCCAAAACTATGTCTTTGATTGATGAACTAAATGTTTTGAAAAACTATCCTGACAGCGGCAGTAGGTACGAATAATAGTTTTACAAGAAAATTTACTTTACGTCGAAAAACTGTTCTGTTTAATATACAATATAATAACAGATGATCCACAAAAAAAACTTTTCTTTATTGAGTGTGTGAAATATGTTTTCTAATGCAGTTTTTACCTCTGAACACGAAACTAAAGTCAAAATTGGGGGTCAAAAGGCAAAATATAATATCGATTTTATTAGGCAAAGAACGTTTTTGTAATTTGAAAAAGAATAAATATAATATGTATATTCAAATTGATCGAAATTTGCTAGTGAATAGATAAGTTTTCCAGACCGCATTTCAACCCTTAACTATCATATTCACTAGTGCTAGTAATATCAACAGTCAATCGAATATAAAAATAAAAATTGATTTATTAACTAACCTGTTGATCGACGAAACGGATGGTACGTTGTCCTGTGAGCAGATGCCCTCCGCCAGCAGCCGATCCCTGATCTCCCATGCGAACATTGTTGGATTTTCGCGCTTATAATTTGCAATCGCATCGACCACGGGGGGTGTTGCAACTTTTGGCTTAGAACCACCTATTACACCGGCCTTAAAGCTCCCCGTTTCATAATACCTGGAATTTTGTACATTTGATAATTGAGAACATTAATTTGTCTGGTTACGAATTATTTTCTTTAGAATTAGGTAAGCTCTCTCAGACAAAGTCTTTGTTGAAGGTACAGTGAAATATAGCTAAAAATTTACTAGTCTCATGATTGTTAAGTAATCTTTTTAATTAGACAGAAACTGCTGTCCGAAGGTCTCTGACCCTGACAAAAATTCATGCATAGTATCATACAAAACCAATATATTTTTTATATTCAATTAAATATTGTTCAGAGTTTGTATCAGTTTACTGATAGAGACAGTATGCAAGTGTATTATATATCACATTAAAATTTTTGTTATTTTCTGATTTGATGTACGTTCAATAAATTCAGTAAATCTGTAATTTGTAACTACAAAGCTTTTTAATTGGTGTTATTCATACTCATGATTTATTAATTTCGAAGTAAAATACTTGATCAAAATTAAAATCTGAAAAACATATTTTGATCAAAGCAAGGTTATAAAAAATGTATTATTTATTGTTAAATAATACACAGATAGGTATTCATTATAAATTTATTTATCTATTTTCTACATTTTAAATTATTTTATTTAATGGTAATGAAAGCATTAAAAAATTATAATAAAATACTGAATAATTGATAATGACATTATGTAATGTTCCAGATATAAATAAGTCATACGAAATAAATAAGTAATGTGCATTTATAATAAATATATATGTGTGAATTTTCTAGTGAAACCAAAATATAAAACAAGTGCTTTAATTTCATAGTACTGCACAAGTAAATTTTGCAAATGTTATTGATAATAAATTTATACATGCACATTTATGAGAATAGTAGAAAATTAGGAATTGGGAATGATAAAATATAAAAATAGGACATCATCATCGAAAGGACTTCACTTTTTCGCAATATCATAATCAGAATCGTCGCTTTCGAAAGAACGATCTACAAAAGGTCTGAAATATCTGGATTCTATACGGTTATAAGTTTCGTATTGTTCATTACTTGACGTGTGTGGGCGAATGGAAGGTTCGGTGTGAGTTACCATCCGTCGAGTTTCAGTTATTTCTAGAGATAAATGCATATCTAAATTCTCGGTTTGTGTTCGCTCAATCCTTGGGGATTGAATATGATGAGAGGCACTAGATGCATCGGCAATCTCTTCAGGTTCGACATCCGCTTCAGTCGGCAACTCCTTTATATTCGGATGTGGAGTAAGTGCCGGTGGAACATCAAAATGCAGCGCTAGTCTGCCCAATCCGCTGAAGACTAGATTCGTTCGACTACTTGATCTCGACCTTTCATCGAGTGCAGGATCGAAATGAACGGCTAAATTCAAACTGTTTCCGATATCGGCACCGGAATTCTCTTGCGGATGGAACATTAAATTATTCATTATTTTATTATTCTGCAATGTCGCATTCTTTATTCGTTCCAAGTAATTTAAAAAGTGGCTGTAAGACTCATGATACTCTGCCCTTGATCTAAAGAAATACCTGGGCGCCGGTTGTTCGCTGTCAAGCTCCTTCATCCCTTCATAGCGCCTTGGCCAAACATTTTCATTCCAAAACCGGTAAATGCTGAAATTTAGTCCATCTTGTCTCATAGTGTCGATTACATCGTTTCTCATAACTTCCATCACTTCCGGATAATTCATGTCCTGCACAATTTTCACTAAAGTTCGTGGCAATATAAAGCCAAACCTAATCAATGCCATAAGTAATTCATCGTACACTTTTCTATTATCCCAGTCATGCATCAGCCAACGCACAACAGATAGCATGACTTCTAATTCGTAATTGACGCAAATATAACTCGAACTTATTATAGGATATAATTGATGAATCTCCAGATTCAGATAATCTGAAGTTCCGACAAACGTTAAAAATATTCTTGATATCCTCTGTAGCATTAAGTCCACTATGCTCTGTTCTTCTAAAGCTATTGCATCTAGATAAAGTTGAATTGCAGTGTTCTCATTAAATATTAGACGGCTGTCTATATATGCCCAACATTGTTCTTCCAGCTGTTTAACTGCCATCGCTCGAGCCCCTCTCAAAATATTCAATATGTTCTTCCTGTTTAACAAAAGTTTACTATCTTTATTAGTCAAAGTCATCCACCGGTAGATTTCGTTCAAAACATCTATTGTAATTTCTGATGATGATAATCTTTCGCTTTTATGAGTATTAGATCTTGTAAACAAGTCCGTGTAACAGGACAGAACTAAAAAGTGACAAAAAAATGGTTCTTCGTCTATGTAGAGTATATAATCTGGGTACTCGTGATTAAAAATTTGATTTATTATAGTATGATATAAGTCAGTCTTTTCTGGCAGTCGTACTACATCACAGTCAAGAACGATATCTGGGTTAAATCCTAACTCCTTTAACGAGTGTTCTTTATCTATGAATTCAAGGTCGTCATTGTTGGATGGAGATGTTTCGTTACCTGAATCCGAACGTCGATCGTAATATGATTTTCGACAATCCTTTAGAAGGATGGCGCATGCCGATTTCGATCGCTTCCGCTCCAAGTTAGATGATTGTCTCCTTGCGCCAGCGTCGGAATCAACATTTTTATCTTTAGCAGACCGTTTTTTCGACGTGCAACTAGCGGTTTGAATCGATTCTGTTTGAATTAATTCTGCTGTTGTTTTTGGAGCCAGCTCAATAGGCGAAGCTACTTGAGCAATAGAACTGGTGTCAGACACTAAGTGCTTATTATCAAAAATGGTTGTCACAGAGATTTTGACTAAGCCATCAGAATCGGAATTCGATACACACTCATAATAAATACCCCTATCAGTAATTGCGCCTTTTGGTAACTTGATCTTTGGTTTGAAAATTTTCGATTGGTCGGATGTCGTTAGTTTTCTTCTGCCTTCATCCGTTATCTTCTTTGGTACCGCTCCTGTTGATTCGAGAGGCACGCTCGAGGATGACACGCTCGAGAATGACATCTCTGCAGATTCTACGACCGCCTTAACACTTGCGACGCTACTTGATAAAACACTGGATGTATCACCGAAAGTTGTTGATTTGGATTCTGGTTCATAACTGATAGATTTGTCTGATTTAATTTTTTTCATTTCTCTAACAAATGTGTCTTCAGATTCGTGCTCAAGTTCAGCATCAGATTTAACTTCGGGCTCAACTTCTGGCTCGACTTCTGGCTCGATTTCTTGCTCGACTACTTGCTCGACTTCTGGCTCGACTACTTGCTCGACTTCTGGCTCGACTACTTGCTCGACTTCTGGCTCGACTTCTGGCTCGACTTCTGGCTCGACTTCTGGCTCGACTTCTGGCTCGACTTCTGGCTCGACTTCTGACTCGACTTCTGACTCGACTTCTGGCTTGTCCTTAGCTTCGTCTTCAGGAATGCTTTCAGGCACATTGACTGGGCTACAAATCTCTGGGGTATCTTCGGCGGTAGTAACGGTTTCGGAATTACTAATAATGTTGCAATCGACTTCCGATGCAGTATCTTGCAAAACACGCGCAGAACATAAAACGGATATCGGTATAGGATCTTGTGCGTCACAATCAATTTGCAGCGATAAAGCACTCGACTCATTAGCTTTGGAAGATTGTTCATCAAATGAGGTAACTTCTTCGCTATTTTTTGTTCCTTTATCAGACAACAGGCAAGGTGATGAAGCTATTGCGATCGCAGACACCCTTAGTAGTCCAAAATCAGCAGGAGGTTCCACAATTAATTCCGATGATGGGATGTCTGAAAGCGACCAATCACCACCAATCGACTAAAAAAAAAATAGTATATGAAATAATTATATAGCAACAATGGTCGACAATTTGCAATGTCTCGAAAACAGTATAGAAGTATTAAAACTAATGATTTTTATGATATTTTTATTTAAAAAAAATTATTGTAGAACATTAAATTATTTCAATAAATTTATATGTATATTTTAATATGTAATGTAACATCACAACACATTTTGTGTGCATACCTTAAATTCAAAAAGTCGAGTAATAACATGTTCAAATGATGTCAAAGTAATTGTATAAAAACTGCAAAGCTAATAAATATATTCCGAATTCATCATCAACATAACAAAAGGTATATTCTCAAGTAATATAGTATTTAAGTCAATTACAACCATTCATGACTTATATAAAATGTCATTAAATTAATCAAAAGAACGTCTAAAATTGTAAAATTGCATTAGAAAGTAACAATAGAGAGTGCCTATAAAGAAGCTTGTAAAATAAAATAAAAATTATAACATACAAAAATAAAATTCTTAAAAACACAAAATTTTGTTTTGGTAATATTTAAATAGTATCATCGTAAAACAGTACAAAATTGAGTACAAGTACAACATAAAGTAGAGCCAAAATTTAATATACATATAACGAAATTAATAATAAATTAAAAAAATTCTTTTATTTTTTAACTCAAATATGAAAAAGTACGAAAAATGAGGAACGTCATAGTAAATTAAATCAAATGCTAATTAATCTAATGTATGTGCATACATGTATTAATCCAAGCCCAAACAAACATGGCAAAATGGCAGCCGAAACAGAAAACCAATATACCAAATGAACGATATACCGTCGTTGAACGTTATGCAAAAAAAATTACACAACTATATCACAATATATAATGTATGAAAATTAAAACTCTACTTATTTAAGCCAAAATCGTTCATTATTTCAATAAAGCTCGTGCAAAAAGTTAGCGAAACAGTTGATAAAATATGTATACAGTCCTGAATGCACTCTGGACGAGATCATAAAATGGCGCCACAAACTTTACTCACAAAAGGATTAGACCAAAAACGTTCATCTACTTAAGAATAAATATGTTCAATATGAGAAATCGTCAACTTGACTCGTTTGCCATAATCGTTCATTATTCAATAAACTACAAAACTGGAAAGCATTTCATAAAATATGTATACAATCTTGGAAGCGCTCTAGGCGAGATCACACAAAGGCGGCAAAAACTTTATTCACAAAATGATGAGATCAAACACGTTCATCTACTAATCGTAAGTATAAATATGTTCGACATCGCAAATCGCCAACCATTGTAATAATGCATAAAAGTACTTACAATGTCTGCAGTATCTTCAGTCGCAGTCATTTGCAGAGATGTATCCGATGTTGCTCGTTCAGGTGTTTTGGAACGGCGTACAGATTTTTTGTTTAAATCTTTATTCGAATCCATTTTTTAAACTCGTACGACGAATTAATAAATATTCTAGTAAGAACTAATTAAAGAAAATCACTGAACGCTATTTAGAATTTACTGAACCACTTGCACACTCTGGATCACTTCACAAAGAGAACTAGGAGAACCGTCCACTACGAAAGTCAGAGGATAAAGAGAGCGAAAGCGATAAAGGACGGTCGGGCGGCGAACACCCGCCAGAGTAGCCAACGTGCAAACGTAAACAAAATATCAAATTAAAATAAACAATTACGATATCATTTATAGTTTCGACTATTTATACACTACAACAGTTTCAAATATTATAAATAAAACCTTTGTCTCATAACTATATCGAATTCATAAGAGTTTTATATATTATACCGAGTAGGTCGGCGGTTGCCAAATCGACAATGACATATCGATTTTGATTAGTGACATATCAAAACAATTATTGATAAAATACAAAACAACTGCAATTTCAATATTAAAATATTTATGTTACTAACGATACAATATATAGTAAAATTAACGTAAATGAATAAAATCTAAGTGAAAAAAATAATTCGTTGCAAATGTCAATTCGTTTTTGCACAAGCCGGTAAATTTGAATACACATTTGGACACATCGAAATAATTTGCTGTGTTATATTAATTATAATAATTAATAGCGTTAATTAATGAAATCTAATAAAAGTTTTTAGAATTATAATTAATATTCTCTTTATATATATATATATATATATATATATATATATATATATGTGTGTGTGTAAAGTTTCGAACAAGAATCCAAAAAGTAATAAAAAACAAAAAAAGTTTTTAATAAACTATTTCTCCATTTGTTTATTTACTGTCGACGTTTCGGAACTGGGTACGTTCCATCTTCAGGACATCTGTCAAGAAACCTGATCTTGATAATATTTAAGCAAACAATATGTTTAAGAAAAGAAAATGGGTTTTTTAATTAATAAAATAGTTGAAAAATTAATGTACAGAAATATGATAATATGATTAAAATGAAAATGATAAAAATAAATGAGTGAATTATATAACAGGATATTAAAAATAATAAAAATTTTTTTTTGAAAGTTTTGGAAAGTTTCAAGAAAAAGTTAAAGACAACATTGAATTAATTACCTGTATGGTTGAATATACGTTAGCACTTTTTTACTAAAAAAGATTTTATCAAAAATTTAATTTATGAGTTACTTTTCAGCCTCATTCACAAATCCAAGACTCTACCATTTAATATATATATATATATATATATATATATATATATATTATTCTACTAATATAATATAATATAATATAATAATATACTTCTATTAATATAATAATTCTATTAACATAATAATAATATAGTATCATTAACAGAATAATTCTATTAATATAATAATAATATATAATAATATTGTTTAAATATTATAAATAATTTTTATATCTCAGATTTAGCTCTAATTTAAATAATTTTAAATTTCGCGGGATGCATAGGCAGCGACCCGCGGTTGCCAGATGAGTACTACATGACATATAGAAAAATATATTGATCAATTACAAAATAACTGCAACTTGATTATCAAAATATTCATGTTATGAATTATACGAAATATATACAAAAATGTATATTATAATATTATATTAATGTAATAGAAGTGAAGAGGGATAGTATCTGATTACCAGTGTGAAATCGTTTTTGCACAAGCCGGTAAATTTGAATACAGATTAGGTTGAAACATCCGAACTAGACTGTACTGTTATTTTAATAATTCCAATAAATTTAATTATATTGATCTAAAACCTTTAAGTAGTGAAAACTATTAAAACTACATATTCAATATGAGACTAAATAAGTTGGGTTGATTAATTATAGTTACTTTAATCCATTAAAAGCTTAAAACGTAACAAATAAATGAAAATGTAATAATACAAAATTTTTAAACATTTACGTTTATATATGTAGTTATACGAATAGTGATGTGTATATACATCATATGTATTGGCAAAATATTTATGATAACATATTTTCAGGCATTCATCCAACAACAAAATTTTAGTGAAAAACAATGATTTTTTTTGCAAACATTTCGAGTCCGGGTTTGATTTATCTTGAGTAAAAAATAAAAAATAATAGAAATTAAAATAAGAATATTATAAATTACAAAGAATTAAAAAACAGCAAGTAATAAACGAATAACATTAAACGCAACGTCAAAATGTATAAAGATAGAAACAAAAATAAAGTGATATGTTTAAAGACAGAAATAAAAAATGTAAAATCATTTTTAGTAACTTACCATACAAATAATTCACAACAAAACACATAAAGTAAGAAACATCGTTTTAAATATAAAACAATTTTGTATTGGTGTTTAAGCGTGTTCTCAGAATGCCATTATCCACTATTTTTTTACTATTGGATGGATATTATATTATATTATTGTCATATTAATATTATAATATTCACCTGGACAGTATTTTGGAGACGCATCCGTGGCTGACCCTGAGCTGCCGTGAAATGTCGCAGGGCCTGACTCCGTTGTGCGCCAGTTCGACGATTCTCTGTCTGACGACGTCGGGCAGGGGCCTGCCGTTGACGAAAACGCCGCCCAATTGATTTACACCGCCGTGGCCTGAATCAGAACATAAAAATCATTGATTAAAATTTAATATAAATGGACAACTTACAAACAGTGTAGAAACGCCCGATTTGCATACTTCCATATACGCATTCAAGTTATTTAAGTATCATATCGGATCAAAGCAATATTTGAGGATAATAAATTTATTATGTTAGCAAGACAAGCAAGTATCCTTGACTTAATTGGTGAAATCCAATTTAGAATTTTGTATTCATATTGTTACTGCAAGAACATTTATCATGTGTCTAATATAACAAAGCTAATGACTTTTAGTTAAAGTTAATCATCTAAATAATAATATTTACTAATATTACTTAATTATCTAAATAAACAATCTTACACCATATAAATTATTTTGCATTACTATAAACATGTTATTCAACGCTTGTTTATAATTATTCAATTAATGTGCCAAATAATAAAGGTACATATACTATGTTTAGTATACACCATTATTGAAGTATGTTGTTGTTTACAAATATTCCATATAAATGAAAAAATCAAAATATATTGAAACAAAATTCTGTTAAGGAATTTATATATTTCTGTAATTCTGCAGTGCTCTACATATTTATCACCATAAAAATAATTTAAATCCAACGTAATATGATTGTTGAAAAAATTGATTATTTTATTTAAACTAGCATGGTAGTACGTATTAATTTCATAATTTACTAAATTTTATGAATAAATCATATTTTATTTATGATTTTTTTATTAATTAATAAACAGCAATCAAAATTACATATAACTCTATAAACTATTCATTCTGCTATCACAACAATAATATATATATATATATATATATATATATATATATATATATATATACTACTAAATCATATATATATATATATATATATATATGTAATAGAAGAAATAATAATAATATAAATAATAATAATAATAATACAAATAATAATGATAATAAAAAAGTAATAAATTTAAGTAAGATAATTTTACCAAATTAGGGTAGGTAGACCAGATACAACAATTTTACGAAACGAACAAAATAAAATTAGTTAGATATTTAACTAGATTTAAAATTTAAAGCAAATGTAAATAATAAACATAAACTAAATTAATTTGAATGTTTACGTAGGTAAAGATTAATGTTATTGTCACTTTTTGACATTTTTTTATATAAAAATGTTTAAATAGAGTTAAAAATCAACTATTATAAAGTATTTGCAATAATATTCATTGTGATCTCATACACCAGACAATATATCTGATTTGTGAGATATAGTATATTTGAACATATATTATAATAAATAATTATTTTTTTCAAATAACTCTTGCTATGATAATACACATACAGTATATAACTATTAGCACACGAGGATGTAACCTTAAAATATTTTTTGCTAAATATTAATAATTTTATTATTAACTGTATATTCAATTTTAAATAGATATTTATTAAATTAAAATTAAATACATAGATACAATTATCCTTTACATAATTGACCCACGGTACAAAATTCAAGAAAAATATTTCCTTCTCCTTTTTAGTTATAATACCAAAATGTATCCACTTTCCGCCCTCAATGAAAATGATTCATAATTCATCTCTTGCCAGAATTTCAGAGACAGCAATGAAAAATCAAAGTTATAGTGATAGTAATAATAATAATAAGCAAATTCATTGTTCGTAAATTTGCCATGCGCCTGACACGTGCATGCGGCTTCCTTTTCCGGCCCAGAAGACCCCACTATTTCGGGTTGACATTTATATCTAACTGGGCGAACTTTACGAGTACATTTTTCTTCACTTTTTCAAACTTTGTTTATTTTGTCATAGAAAAAGCATTCATGAATTATATTTCGAAGATCCGGGAAATAGAATTTTAATAATAAGAATGATCTATATACTTATGTTTTTAAATAAATTATTAATGCTAATGTTGGATTAAAAACTTTTTGTTTTATTTACTTTAAAATATTTGGGCTTATTTCAGTCTTTGTACTTCAACAACTGCACATAGTATTAATTTTTAACATTAATTTCAACCGAAAACCTTACTTATATATTTTGCTTCAGTGTTCCTAATAATAATTGCTTGGATTTAATCGTAATAGTTATTTATACAAATATATTTCTGTATTAAATTTCTTATATAATATTTATTTAGTTTGATTTTTTATAGTTAAATTGATTGCCACTGAATGAAGCCTAAGATGCTAGCCGAAACGTATAGATTTTAAATAAATTTCTAAAAACTCTCATTTTTATTGATGTAACGCCCGACTTTTTAACTCAAATGTATATATATATATATATATATATATATATATATATATATATATATATTAGGGTGGTCCTTAAAATGGTCATTTTCGAATTTCCTTGCTCCCAGGGGCTCAAATGGTTCCAAATAGATAAAAAACAATTTTCCGAAAGTTTTAGCCCTCAATATTAACGTTTAGATAGAGCGCAATTCAATCAAGGTTTTGTATGGAATCAGCAGGGAAAAATTCTTAAAAATTTAAAAAATGCTTTTAGATGTAATTTAGCGAATAAATGAATGAATAGAACTCATGTTATAACTAAAACTTTTTTTTTTAATTTTCAAAATTTTTTTAATTCTTTTTCCATACAAACTTTGATTGAATTGCGCTCTATCTAAACGTTAATATTAAGAGCTAAAATTTTCGGAGAATTGTTTTTTATCCATTTGGAACCATTTGAGCCCCTGGGAGCAAGAAAATTTAAAAATGACCATTTTAAGGACCACCCTAATATATATATATATATATATATATATATATATATATATATATATATATATATTGAAATGAATAAAACAGCCAATGCGTCGAATGTAAAGAATTTATTTAATTTTTTATACGTTTCGAGTTTCGAGAATATATATATATATATATATATATATATATATATATATATATATATATATATATTCCACTATTTAAAATTGAAATAACAATTATAATCCTTCTTGAAATAGGTAGCTGACCGTTCTATTTTTATTTTAATTATTGCTATATCTTTACATAATATTGCTTCAAACTGTATATTATAGGCTTTTATATTAGAGACATTAAAATATAAGATTTGTAAGTGCTGCATAATTTTTTTAATAAATAATATTTTTTGTTAAAATATTTATAACTTATATCAAATGTTGAACAAATATTTTATTATATTGCAACTAAAGTAAACAACTTAAAATTCTTGTACCGTATTGAGAATAATTTTAGCAATACACTACTAATAAAAATTTACAAAATACTTGAATGATAATATTTTTAAACGTAATAAATTATTGAATAAAATTAAATACTTACATTTGCTTAATCAGCAATATTTCATGAGGCATAATTATGATTTTTATTTAATTTTAATTTGTCATATCAAGATCTAATCAATAAAAAAAATAAATCACAATTGGATTCCATCCCAAAATTAGGAAATTTTTTTAAACAAAATAAATTTTCATAAAAACTTTTATTTTACATTTGTTTACCAGCAATTATCTTGAGTCATAATTCCAACACTATTATTTTATTTATCGTATAACACAGTGGGTTCTATTCCCTACGATATTTATAATTCTATATTCGAATGAATGTTTGAATAATCGTGATGCAGCACGTGCGAATGTGTATCAGAATCAGAATGGAATTTCTTGTCGGTTGATCTTATATTAAGCTAAGACGCTTGTAATTCGCGCCAATTAGTTGCATCTCGCAGCTAATCGTCACATTGAAGCGAAGCCACGAAATGCGGCGTCTCACCGACTACGAGGAACCGATAACATGAGTAACCCTGTGTCTCCACCGAGAGAGAATCGAGAATTGGAAACGAGATGAACGTTGATACTATTGTCATAAAGGAAAATTGAATTGGAGAGACCGGTACGGTTGATCTAGGGTACGGTAGTGACAGTCGTCGTAACAGCTAAACTATACTGATTTTGAGATAGGGTCCGAAGGAAGAAAGATAAAGAATAATTGTTCCACCAACTTTCCATTATTGCTTTCAGTCAGTGCCTTACATTAACATGATTTATAGACCGCATTGCTTTTAAGGGGGTTGTTCTTTTTTTATTTTTCTTTGTTTCGGTTTTGAGATTTTTTGATATTATGAAAGATAAAACCCTTAGAATCATTTAAAAAAAAATCATCTCAATATCTATTTTTTTGACGAAGTTATAGATATATATATATCTCTATACGTATGATCCTCTGAAAGCGTTTTTTTATCGCTCCGCGAGCTATTGTATGCCAGATTCCTCTTTTTCATTATAATACCTCATGCACATAACCTTTTTAATGTGTCAGCATCTTTGAACACCATGGTGTATTTAATACATTAAATTAAATGGTGTATTCAGTACATTATATTAAGAACTTTAAATACGTTTTTCTCAAATTGACTTTTTTCAATGCGGTGCCACAAATTAAACAAAAACTACAAGTCGGATCGACTTGCATTTTTTTTTAATTTGTTCACCACTGCAATACCGAGTCCCCCTACCTCAAACAACTTGATAACATTACGCAAAAAAAATTTGCGAAGCTTCTCGCCCCAAAAAAAGGCCTTTTTTGACACTTTTTTTTTTAAATAGCTGCCATTTTTTTCCTTTTTGCTTTTTTTCTTTTATTTTGGTAGGGGGACTGGAAACAAACTTCTTCTTCAACGTAATTTCTTTTTTTTTTGTTTCGGGCGATGCGCAACGGATTTATCTGTGGCACCGCAAAATAGATCGTTTTTGCAAGACCGACTTTGGCGCCCCCTGGTTAAAAAATGACGGCGCAAAAAGAAAAAAAGAAAATCACGTAATATTCTATGATTTTGTAATTTTTGTTTAAAAAAAACCGCATGTCTCTATGATAAATACATTTCGAGAAAAAACAAAAACAAATACCTTGCATTTTTTGTAACGAAAAAAGAACAACCCCCTTAAAGAGTCAAAAGTAAGTTTTTCCTTTCCGAATTCTAATCATAACTGTTAATTGTGTACAGA